AGCCGGGAGGATGTCAGCAGGCCCTGCCAGAGCTGGGCGGGCAGCCGCCAGGGCTCCAAGGAATGCCCCGGATGTGCACAGCTGGCTCCTGGCCCCACCCCTCGGGCCTTTGGTCTGGACCAGCCGCCTCTGCCTGAGACCTCTGGCCGCCGCAAGAAACTGGAGAGGATGTACAGTGTTGATCGTGTGTCTGGTGAGGGGCTTGCGTCGGGGCATGGACAGGTTTGGGGGTGCATGCCACTGCCAGGGTCTGACAGCAGCAGTCACTGTGAGGCTTGGAACAGGGGATGGGTGCTCAGGTCACAGTATGCCAGCGGACTCAAGATTAAACCCGGCAGGCTCCTGCTGCTGCCTCCACACTCTATGAGCCGTGAGTTCCCTCAGCTCCTCAGCAAAATCTGCCAGGCCTCACAGTCCGCTTTGGCCCTGCTAGCACCAGGTCAGTCAAGGAGTGCTTCCCAGGGGAGGGGGCCTGGGAGGATCTTAAGGGATATATAGGGAGGAAACACCGCTTAATCGGGAGATTGGGCTGCCCTCCAAGAGTCCTGGGAAGCTGTTGGGGCCCAGCCAGGCAGTGGGCCCGTTTCCCCAGGACTGTTGAGTTGTGTGGTAGCTTGTCCACCAGGCAGAACGTCACTCCACGGTCCCCACACTTGGGCATCAGGGAAAGGCTGTGGGGCCCCTGGGAAGGGGACAACCCTCAGCAAGGTGGTCTCCAGCCTCAGCGAGGGCCTCCAGCTAGAGCATGGGGGCTGCGGAGAAGGCCTCAGATGCCCAAGGGAAACAGATGCATTTTTTTCCTGGGCCTCCTGGAGACAGACCGTGCTTTCAAAGGAATGTTCCTCAAACTTTGGGTGGCCAAAGGGAAAGTTAAGCCAAAAAAAATCAAAGCGTCAGGTCACCAAGAGCGTAGTCTTGGTGAGTGAGCAGCAGACATTTGAGCACTGCCCTCTGGGCCCGTGGGGGGATGCCACCCTGTGCCAGCCTCCCCCCACCCGCCCTGGCTGCCCGCTGCTGCTGACCCCCGGACTCAGAAGCATCTGCTTCCCAACAGGGAGGGAGAGACCTCACCCAGCCACCGCTCATTTTTGTCTCTTTTAGACGACATCCCCATTCGTACCTGGTTCCCCAAGGAAAATCTTTTCAGCTTCCAGACAGCAACCACAACTATGCAAGCGTGAGTCTTGTTCCACGATGTGGGGTCAGGGCCGGGTGGCCTCCTTCTGCTGCTCAGGAAACACGGCTTTTTCCCAGCCTCTGGGCCTACCAGGGTGGCTGCTTCTGAACAGCCCCATGTGCCCATGCTGTGCCAGGCCTGCCAGAGAGGCCAGGGCTGGCTGCTCTTCCCCTCTCATGGCTGGTGCCCAGCCCCCCCACAGTCCTCTGGTCAGGGGACCCGGCCCAGGGCTGCAGCTGATGAGCTGTCAGTGGGGTGTGGGGTGTGGCGTGGTTCTCCTGCTCCCATCCCCTCTCCTCAGCCTGTGTCTGCCCTCCCTCAACCCTCAAATAGAAGCCTACTTCTGTTTCATATGTGCCACAGGTAATGACAGTTTTGGGGTCCCCCCAGGGACCTGCTCTTCTCTGTCTGGACATACATCTGGGTTTTCTGTTTTGGGGTTCCTTCCAGGGAAGTTCCCTTTGCTGCAGTGGCCCCCATACCAAAGAAATGCCCTGCACAGGGGGAGTCCACCCCACTCCCAGCCTCAGGCTGCCGGGTCTCAGCAACCGGTCCTGGTGGCATGGGCTGCAGTGACATAAGCTTCCGTTGCCTATTCAGGGCTGGCTGGCAGTGTAGCCAGCATCCTGCTGGCGGCTGGGTTACCTGTGAGGGATCTACTGGGTCAGTGACAAGAAGGGAACTGCAGGGGCCGGGTGGGGGCTGAGGGGAGGCCCAGGGTTGAGCTCACTGTGTCTTCTCTCTCACGCCATCCCTTTTGGCCCTGGCTTCAGCATCTCGTAAGTACCTGTATGACTTGGTGCCTAAGGGCACAGCCGTTGTCCCTGGGGAGACCCTCCCACCCCCAAATAGATTTGGGCAGGCCAGGGACCTGGGTCTTGAGGGAGTGCCGCTCTCTGTGGGCCTGGCTCCCAGCGGGTACCGAGGTCGCAGCAGGGCCTGCCGGGAGCTGGGCCTCAACAGGTGAGGCAGGCTGGGACTCCTCTGCCTGGCCCCATGCCCCAGACGCCCTGCTGGGCCCTCTGCTCGCACCACTGTCCCCACGTCTGTGTCCCTCCTGCCTCCGGCCAAGGGCAGTGCTGACTCGCGGTGGTTTCCCAGGGTGTTCAGGGGCTACGCGGAGAGGAAGCGCCGGAAACGGGAGAATGATTCCGCGTCTGTAATCCAGAGGTAGGGCCTGCCAGCCACTCGCCACCAGGGTCCATCTCTGGTCTGTGCTGGCCTGGCCTGGGCCCCCTCGGCCCTGGCAGACCTGATGGGGGAAGGGTGGTGGCGACCACTGGCCTGGCCCTGCTCTGGGGACGTGGCAGGCAGGAGAGGCCATGTGGCCCGGGCTGCAGGAAAGCATCTCACCCTCAGTCCTGCATTCCGAGGGCACGGGTCTCTGTCTGGGATGGGGCCAGAGGCAAGGCCCCCCTCCCCCGCTCCAACTACAGAGCCATGTCTGGGGAACTTTTTTGCCCGTTTCGGATGTTGGGCCTTGGCAGGGTCCAAAGTTTGGTGGAGGAGAGGTGGCTCAAGGACACAGAGCAGGAGAGGGGGCTCCTGCAGGCCCCCAGCCCGCCATGGGGTGGTGCAGACAGGAGCCCCGCTCTGCTGCAGCGCAGGCAGGCTGGATCCTCAGCCACATGGGCGTGGAGGCTCAGGGTGTGAGTCCCGGGCGAGGATGGAAGGTCAGAGCCTGGGAATGCAGATTCGGAGGAAGCTTGATCCAGAGCGCCAGGCACTGCACCTTTGTTCTGGAGGCGAAGGGGAGCCCTGGAAGGCTCTCATGGGGAGAGCACTGGGTGGGATTTGCCTTTGGGTGGGAGGTGGTGCCAGGAGCCAGGGAGAGCACTGGCTTCCCACACCGAAGGGGTGAGAGTAGAGCGCTAGCCCGAAGGGGACTAGGTGGGCAGGGGCTGCCGCCACCCCCTCAAGGCCTTCAGCCCCTCACTTCCTCCCCCAGGAACTTCCGCAAACACCTGCGCATGGTCGGCAGCCGGAGGGTGAAGGCCCAGAGTAAGGCCCTGTGGGGCGGGGGTGGGGGGCCGGCGTTGCGCTTGGCTGGTTGGGGCTTTGCGTGCTGCTAGCTGTGCTGCGAACGACCCCCGCTCTCCACTCGCCCCCCCGCCCCCGGCCCTAACCCCAGCCAGGCCCTGCCTCAGGCTCCTCCCCTCCCAGCCACGCCCCCAGCCTGGCACAGGCTCCTCCCCTCCCAGCCACGCCCCAGCCCGGCACAGGCTCCTCCCCTCCCAGCCACGCCCCCAGCCTGGCACAGGCTCCTCCCCTCCCAGCCACGCCCCCAGCCCGACAGGCTCCTCGTCTCCCAGACTCCGCCTCTGGCCCCGCCCCAGTGTTCGCAGATCCTGCCCCTGAACCAACTGAGTCTCCGGTCCGTGTCTGCTTCATGTGCCTCAGGCCACACCCACATCAGCATCCTCTGCCCAGGGTCCCCGTGGTCCCCTTGCCTGGGGCCTGAGTCTCCAGAGGCCCCACCTCGCTCGCTCGCTAATGCGGGTTTTGCTCTCTGCAGCGTTCGCTGAGCGGCGCGAGCGGAGCTTCAGCCGGTCCTGGAGCGACCCCACCCCCATGAAAGCCGACACTTCCCACGACTCCCGAGACAGTAGGTGCCCCGCACAGGCCCGCCCACCTTTCCCAGAGCCTCCCCTAGACCCTAGACCCCTGCTAGGGGTCCCCTGCCAGGGCCGCTGGGCTGCGCTTTTGCACTCTGAGCCTTGGTTTACCTATTTGTGAGATGGGGACGCCCTCAGCATCTCCGATCTCAAAAATGGGGTAACTTAACGGCTGCGGCAGTGCTGGCCGGGGGCGCCTGTAGGGCTGTGCCCACTGCCACTCGCAAGAGGCCTTGAGGGGCAGGGGACTGCAGTGCCCGCCCCTACTCCCTCCCAGGCGCCCTGCCGACTTGGCTGGAGCTGATGCCTGCACGCGCCGTCCACCAGCCTGGCACCAGGGTCTCCCTCCCCACATCAGGCCGATACCCAGTGGTGTCCGCAGGCCTGTCCTGCCGGGCTGGCGGCGGCCTCTGCATAGTCCTCTCACTTGCTTGGAGGACCCTCCAGGACGGGCCTTTCGGGCCCTGTGGGCCTCGGGGCCGTGGCCAGGACAGGAGGTGCTACCAGGCCTGCTGTCTTGGTGACCCTCTTGCTTCCCAGGCAGTGACCTGCAGAGCTCCCACTGCACGCTGGACGAGGCCTTCGAGGACCTGGACTGGGACACGGAGAAGGGCCTGGAGGCCGTGGCGTGCGACACCGAGGGCTTCGTGCCACCAAAGGTCATGGTGAGGCCCAGCCCGGGCAGTGCTCCTCTACACCCCAGCAGGACTCGGCCCTGTCCCAAGAGCCCAGCCAGCTCTGCCTGGGACCACGCAGCCTTCTCCGGCTGCCTGCGGGAGGGGGTCTCACAGGGCTGTACCCTTGGGCTGCCTGGCAGCCAGAAGGTAGCCTCATGGGGGCTCCCACAGCCCCTCGGCTTTTGGATGGGCCTAGGTCCCCTGAGCAGCTCTTTGTCTCCCTAGCTCATTTCCTCCAAGGTGCCCAAGGCTGAGTACATCCCCACCATCATCCGCCGGGACGACCCCTCCATCATCCCCATCCTCTACGTGAGTCCCGCCCCAGGCCTGCCCCCACAGATCCCCTCCTGCAGCCCCACGCTGGGCCAGCGCTGGCACCCCAGGTCCCCAGTGGGCTGTGACGCTGCTGGCTCTGACGCAGCCCTGATGTGGCCTTGTGGCCTGTGTCTGTCCCCAGGACCATGAGCACGCAACCTTCGAGGACATCCTTGGTATGTGTGTCGTTGGCCCCTCTCTGCTGGTCCTGGGGCTGGGAGAGCAGACACAGGCAGGGGGTGCCCCTGGGGCTGGGGTGGGAGGGGCAGCGCTCACACCCACTCTCCCACAGAGGAGATAGAGAGGAAGCTGAACGTCTACCACAAGGGAGCCAAGATCTGGAAGATGCTGATTTTCTGCCAGGTGGGGCTCAGTGTTCTCTGGCCCAGGAGAAGAATCGTGGCAGGGTGGGGGAAGATCAAGGGGAAGAAGTCAAGTTGGGGGAGACCAAGGGGAAGAGGCATGGGATGGGGGAACCAAGGGGAAGAGACCTGGGGGGGGACCAAGGGGAAGAGGCGTGAGGGGTGGAGACCAAGGGGAAGAGACATGGTGAGGGGGGGACCAAGGGGAAGAGGCGTGGGGGGTGGAGACCAAGGGGAAGAGGCATGGTGGGGGGGAACCAAGGGGAAGAGACATGGGAG